GCCGCGTAGTATACCCGCCGTGTCCAAACGCAGAGCATCCCTGCAGTGCCCAACCTCAACTGATCCCTGCAATCCCTCCAACCCCGGTACGGTTCTCTGCCGCGAACCCCAACGTCTTCCTGCCCGCAACACCCAACCGCAAAAAATCCTTGCAGCGCCCAAACTCAGAGTATCTCTGCTGTGCCCAAGCCGCACAGTTGTTATGTCTGTAGGCTGGCGCGGTTTAAGGGTTTAGGGTTTCGTAATTGCATTGGTGATCCATTCTCCGCATTTTTGTTGGAAGTCGTTGATGATGCCGCTCCGTAACCAGATTAACGTAAGACGTAAGTAAGGGTAAGGATGTTCGAAATACATAATTTGGGGTTTGATTGCTGATGTTGAGGCCTGTCATTCTTCAGGGCCCATACAAGAATGAAATACCCTCGGCCGCAAGCGGCCGAGTTGTCCCACCCGGTCAAGGCCTTGTCACCGAAGTTTGGAGCCGAAACCAGCGGAGCTGTGCAAAAGGCTGTCCGTGTTTGGAGTGGGTGCCAACACCGGCGCAGCTAGCTCCACATTTTACCACTTTTATTACTACTACTACTACTACTACTACCACTACCGCTTGCCACCACCACTACCATTACTACTACTCCTTCTAAAGTTGTAAAACATGCCTGGGGAGGGTGCACTTCTACTTGTTCCCCAATTTTTTTGTGGGCTTCTTATTTTAACTGCGTCGCCGCTCATCCTCAGCGCTCCATGTCGCGCGCCCCCGCCGCACCTTCCCGCCGCCATCTCGAGGTCCCGGCTGTCCCCCTCAAAGTACCCTTCAAGACCCTGCCATCCGCATCCCTACGTTCAGCTCTCATCTCCTTTAAAGCGCTGTTCCACACCATCTCGTGGTCCCGGCTCTCAATAGTCTTTCAAACCATGCTGCCGCCATCACGGGGCCCGCCCTCCTCCCCTTTCCCTGCGGGTCCCACCCTCCCCTATAAAATACTCCCGCTATCCTCCCATTTAAAGTACTCTTCCAGACTAGTCTTCCAGACATTCCCGTCACCACCTCGGGGTCCGCAGCGCTGCTCCATTAAAAAATCGGGTCCCAGCCTCTCTGCTGTCTCCTCCCCACTTTGTAATCTTCCAGACCTTCCGGCTGCCATCTCGGCCCTCCCGTCGTGCGGAAAGACTTTGAAGTAATCTTCCAAACCATGCAGCCGCCCCGGGTTCGCGGCTCTCCTCCCCTCTTCCAGACCCTCCCGTTGCCATCTCGTTGTCGGCTCCTCCCTTTCAAGTACTTGCCGCCATCTCGAGGTCCCGGCTCTCCTCCTTTTGGAAACAAACTTCCAAACCCTCGCCACCATCTCGGGGTCGGCTCTTCGCCCCCTTTACAGTACTCTTAACTCAGACCCTCCATTGCCATCTCGGGTCCCGGCTCTTCGGCGCCCCCCTTTCGTCCCTTTAAGTAATCTTCCAGACACTCCCACCGCCATATCGCGGACCTGAGACTCCTCCCTTTTAAAACAGTCTTCCCGACCCTGCCGTCGCCATCTCAAATCCCGGCTCTCCTCCCCTTTCAAGTGCTCTTCCAGACTCTCCTCCGCAGTCTCCCCCCCTTTCAGGCCACGCTGCGCTCTGCAGTTTCGTGCATAGCATGTCCTGCTTGAGGTTAAGGAACTGCCACCTCGTTGACGGCGAATGCCCCCGTGCCAGTGATTGAGTGCTTCCGATGTGCCCCCCTGAATTTGAAGCTTCCGTGCCTCCGACGTGGAATTGGAGCCTTCTGGATGGCGATGGCATGGAGTCCTTTGCTGCTCTTCACGGTGGAGGCTTCCTGGTTCATGTTAATCAACCTTGGCTGGTGAGACTGGATGGCCTGCACCGATTAGGTGGACCTGTCCTGGCTAGTGCTCAGCGATTGGGGGTGCATGGTCGTACTTGCAGTGCGCGGACTGGGAGTCAATCCAACTGTTGGCTGACCTGGCTGGCTATGGATTCCTCCTCCTGAGTGACTGGTTCTTGGACTTCTTGCTTAGGGGGATCGTCACAAAATGATTATCGCGCCTTCTGGGCTTCTCCGCCAGGCTGCTTTGTGCGTGGTGCTGAAGAGAAGTGGTTTTCTGCGCCATCCTCCGGTGCCTCAGCTCATTACGTCATGGTTTGCAGTGAGTCCGTGCGGTTGGCAACCTGCATGGTTTTTCGCGCTCATCTTCGGGTGCTCCAGCCTTGCGATCGTGTGGTTAGGGGTGTGATCTGTGCAGAATGGCAACTTGCATGGCCTTCGCGCTCATCTTGTGTCCCTGTCGATCATGGGTTTTCTTCAGCGGGTGCTGGCAGCTCCTGTTCCTCGTGGCGGTGGCAATTGTGTCGTACTGAGCTCGTACCACCAGCCCTTCTTGAATTGCCTGTGAGAGTTCACTTGTCCAGAGTCTGTGTAGTGTTTTTTTAGCTCCGTAGATAGCATTCGCTTCTTAATTTCCATGCTTGGAGCCCGAGCTTGGCCGGCTACGCTGTGCAGTTTTGGCGTGGGCTGTTTGATGTTGCAGTCGCTTTGGTTGTGTTGGACCTTTCCGGTCCCATGTAGAGTTGTCTCGGCTTCACACCGACCAGACGTGACGAGGCATCGTGGGGACCTTTCGAGGCTTTGCGGCCGGAATCTGACTCGGGCTCGCTTACGTGTGTCATGTTGTCCAAGTGTCTTGCTGGACTGTCATGCTGGAAGTGTTCTGGTTCTGGGCAGAAGACAGACACAAGAACTTAGCACGATCTGCGATGGAAACTTGGGCACGCTTGTTTGTACATGATTGGTCCGGCCGCGGACGTGCTCATTTCGAGGTTGGCCGAAGACGACTTGACCTGCTTGAAAGCTGCTAAGTGCCTGGAGTATGCCCAAAAGTTGGCTGTGTCCGTGTGGGAAGAGAACCAAGACCAGCGCGGGGCCCAGAAGCCCCACCCCTGATGGCTTTGTGGCTTCGTGACCAAGACACGAATGCGTCTTTGATTGCGATCCAGCACTTATCCTGGCCTGCCATAAATTGGAATCTCGACGCTGGGAGTATGTCTCCCCAGTCGTCTTGATGCGGCAGATGTTCGTGACTGACAATGCTGCTTTCGCTGTTGACGAGTCAGCCGACGTGGTCCAATTCTTTTTTCACCTGGTCACGTCTTGTCCCTGGGCGTTGTCCAGACTCACAGAAGAGGATTTTGAAGGGATTGCTTTAAATGAGGCTTCTCTGCAGTGCTCGAGAATCAACGATTAGACAGCAGCGGCGCACACTTGGCCCTTTAGAGTGGTTCGCGTACCTATGACCCTCATGCTGAAAGTGTTCATTCGTGTCCTGCAGGCTGGGCCGCCGACCAGCGCCCAATCAGCTCGCCCGCGCCAAGCCAGAGAAAAATCTGGACTCTAAACAAACCGAAACGAAAACGCGATGCTGCGGTTGCTTGCAAATGCTGCAAGTGCTTTGCGCTCCACACATGCCATATCACAGCAAAAATCCAGCTGTCAGCAAACAACCGGTGGGATCAGGTTTTTGAAGATGGATGTGGCATGATAGACTTGTATGATACGTGCAGTCTTGTTCATAAAACGACGCCCCTGCCCCCGTCCCCCCCGCCCCCTTCCCTTCACCTGGTGTTCCGACATTCGATGTGGTACACCACGATTCCTTGTCCTTGTACAAGTCACCCTTTATTTCGTCGCCTTCTCCTTTCTTCCCTTTTTCTCTCTTCTATTATCTGTTTAGATTCTGTGAAGCTAAACATGTGGCGTAATCCGGTCCTTTAATATCTTTGGGGGCAGAACCAGCACTACTATTATAACTGCAAGCAGTCTTCTTCCTCCTCCTCTTCTTCTTCTGACTACTACTATTACTACTACCACTACTACCACTACTACTACTACTACTACTACTACTACTACTACTGCTGCTTCTCAAATAGCCGAAGTGCCTGGCGGGGCCACCCTCAAAAAGAGTGGGAGTGCCGAGGCAGTACTTGCCCGGGTGCTTCCTGAAACTTTACATCTGTTAGCTCAACACACCGGTCGACTGGAAACGTATGTCCAAACACTGAATGAATTCATGAAATCGAAAACCCTAGTTTGAAACCACCCGCACCACTAGCCGGTCGCATGGCAAGGTTTGCCCCGTCGTCGGGTGCTTGTGGTTGTTGGAGCAGCAGTAGCATTTGGCATCCTTCAGGCAAGCCGGATCGTGTTTTATCTGGCTTTGGGGTTGTGGGGTTGCGGCTATCAAATCACACCTGAAGTGATTTCGTGACAACATCCAACTCAATAATCTTTATCATAACTATAAAATGCAAAAACCCAAGCTTTAAACGGAAATGCCTGACATGATCGGCATCTAACTTTACCATTTGATTGAGTGCCAAAGCTCGTATTGGCGTCAATACCTGGAAGTCTTGGTGTACTTGGGCAGGACCGAAATTAACGTTCCAACGCGCCCGTAATTCGTCCATTTCACATTTAATGGCAATTGCTACTGTGAAAAAGATGCCATCAATGAAAACCGGGGCTAACAGTGACCTTTCTCAACCTTGCGTCTGTTTCATGACTAATGGTTCACAACTCTGGCAACAAGTCAACCGATATCGGAACAAGAACGCGAGGTCACTGGCAAACCAAAGAACCAGTCTGCCCAAAGCATACCCTTCTTCTCAACCTGTCGCACTGGATGCTGGCGAAGCAGCCCACACAACACAGCATGCACACTCCGGGCACATATTTAAGTTGTACCACTTGCGTACCCAAACGGGTGCGAGATGAAGCTACGCTGAAATTGCAATACGGTTGTGGTGTGTTCCAACCATACTGTGGGATATCGGCTGGCTGGAAAATTAGGCCTCTTCATCACGATGGACGCCTAGCTAGGTTGAGGCCGGGCAAGTGCAATTACCTTGCATGCCACCTATCAGTAGTGTGGCCAACACATACGGTCCTGCACCCGAAATTCGGTCAGCTGGCGGGGGAGGTCTGCCAAGTCTTGCATGAAGCCCAGGCCTTAGGAAACAAAACTTGGGAAAGACTGGCTATGCTTCCAAGAGGACAAGCATTCAAGCCTTCCATACGAATACACACACATGGCTTTCCTGTCTCTGCCAACACTACTTGTGAAGTAAGGCTTGAAAAGGACTAGCTGAGCCCTGCTACGTCGACAATCTTGTTGAAGGGAAACCGCCCTAGCAGCCCTACCGTCATAATGGAAACTACTATATTATATTGGGGTTATATAGGGATAATGGAAAAGAGAATAGGAACTACTATATTATAGGTTGATATGATTGATTAATTGGGGCATCCCACATTGTCACAAGTGTCTCAGCAAGAGACCCCCAAAGCGATGGAACAACACATCAAAACGCGAATGCTTAAGCCAGGGAAAACGCAATGCACCTTCCGCTGCACAGTATTGAAGGTTTAAGGTTTAAGGTTTCGTGTTTGGAGTTTTGGATTCGGGGCTTAATTAGGTTTTGAAGTTACGGGTTCAAGGTTAGGGGGGTTCGGTGTTAGCTTCGTAAGTGCAATTTCTTCCGAACTGTTGGTACAAACCGTTTTGGACACCAGCTCGTACTACCAGGAGAGGCATCAGAATCGTGCGAGAACGGAATAATGCGATTGCCGTTTCCTCTACCCCCAGTAACAAACACCAGAAAAAGCTTTACTTTCACTGTAGAAACTAAGCACAGGAGCGGTTACCTTACCAATAATGGTGGCGGGGGCCCCAGAATGATAAGAACTTTGAAATGGGCGCGGCACAACGCTCAAATGCTTCTTGCTTGAGGGCCGTTGTGACTGTCACATGACTACTGTGGGACCTTTGCGACAATGCTCTTGTTCATTGTGCAAGCGGCCCAGGTAGAGCACGAACGGCACCACCAGCATGGCCAGGGCCTGGCATTGTGAGGGTGCTTTGCAGACGGGTCTGGAAAGATTGCACGCAAATCTGTTCGGAAGATCTCAGAGTTGAATGGCGCTTCCTCCGTGAAGACATCATAGAATGGTTTGGGGGTCAGCAGTCATGAGGCTATGTGCTTCTTGTGTTTGCCACACGGATTTGGGCTTGCAGGCTCTGTGGCCCCAACTTCAAGTCCATGGACAATGCAAGGCCAGTACATGCCACAAAAGTTGAAGGTTGCCAAACAAGCACATCGAAAAAAATCCAGGCGATTGCTGACAATCATTGCTACTCCAATTATTTGTATGATACGCACAATGCATGCATACAGACGCGAATGTATAGGCCTTATGCGTATGGCTCATGTACGTATACACACACTCGAATTAGAGTTTAGTTCCCTTTTGGGGATGCTAATTTTCAAAAGCCCCATTTATGGGCTTAAATTTCAGGGTTCTTCAAGTGCTTGGGCTTGGTCCCAGTTGTCATTGGTAGTTGCAGGCGGCGAGGTTTTGAGGCTTGTTTTTCAAGCTGCTGCGTGCCATGGCAGAAATTTGGGGTTGTCAAAAACTCTCGGTAGTTTGGAAGTGGGCTTTCAGTGGACAATCGTTGTTTGCGCTTCAGTTACAGAGTGCATACCACTCCGACCCCAACTCCGCATAAAATCTCCAAGAGGGCCAAGTCACCAAGCTCGGTTAAATAAGAGTGATCCACCCAAACACTCCCCAAAGAGTTCTTGGCAGTTTGATCACCATGGATGCCCGCTGTCACCCCTTCCCGGGTTCCCTACTCAGCACAAATTCTTCAAGTATCATACATCAGACCGCACGCAGCTCTCAAGAGCTGAAGCCCCAGGCTCAGCCTGTAGTAATGAAGGCAATAGGGTAACGATGTGTGCAAAAAAAGGCATAGAAACATGCACACGTCCAGGCATATATACATAGATGCACGGCAGCAAGAATAGACACCCAAAACATCAGATCCAGCTGTCAGGCAGAACTGTACTCCTGAAGCATGGGAGCAGTGCATTTACAGCTGCGCAAGTATACGATCTACCTGAAACATGATCCAGACTATAAATATAAACACTCGATTTGTATGGCCCTTCATCTCTCACTGACATTCACAACGCATGCGGACCTTCTGCCTCAAGGCTTTGAACTCCTACCAACCCATGCTTATTGGGCCTTTACCTGAACCTCAAAATGCCTAGCACAATCACCCTTGGGCCAATACTAGCAACAAAAACAATACTGATATCACTAAGAGTAATAACAATGATCATGATAGCAATAATTGTGCCAATTCTAGTGATAATAGTAAGGCCTTTTAAGCCCTTTACAGCAACCCTTGGCTTCGAGGCCCGGGCCAACATGAGGCCAGAGGTTGTCATCGTTGTCGCCAGGCCGGCGCCTTTTTGGGCCTGGTAGGCTTTCACGACAGTCTCTCAGGTCCTTTTTGTACGAAGCTTAGGAGCTTACTTTTGCAGAAGATGTGACGGATCAGAAGATTCCAGAATCTTTTCAAGCATGCTCTGCAGAAGAGTTGCCGTTTTAAGCGTTGGGGTCCAAGGATCTAGGAGGTGATCTAAAATCATTGAGCCTGTGTCCGCGTAGCGTTGCGCATCGCGCTCCAGCTGGAACGCGCCAGAGTTGCCATCCTCGCGACCGTCGTCGCTGTTGGACCCTCACTCGCGTCTTTGACACGTCTCAAAAGTGTCAACGATCACAAGCATAGCGGGTGCCCACGGGGGTTGCCATCCTCGAGCTGTCGCCCCTTCTGGACCATCCTGTCGTGTCCGAAATATCAACAATCACATGGATGGAAACCCCCAGGGTCACCATCCTTGTGACTATCTGCCGTCGCTTTGCAGCTCCGGGTCTTCATTGCTTCTCAATAGTGTCAACAGTCACAGGCCCCCATCATAACTGTAGGCGCTTCTGGACCTTCGCGTCCGGAGTGGAACACGGACTGCAAAGCGGAGTGGAAAGTGGAGTGGAAGGTGGAATGGAGACTAGAGCGTGCGGAGAGCGAGTGTGGAGAATGGAGAGGGACAGTGGAGAGGAAAGTGGTGGATTGCAGCGTGGAGTGTGAGGAGTGGAGTGGAGAGTTCAGTGGGTGCAACAAAGAGTGGAGTGGAGGGCAGAAAATGGAAAGTGGAGAACGGAGTGTGAAGAATGGAGAAGAGAGTGGGAGAGTGGAGAGCGGAGAAGAAGGTGAAGCGGAAAGTAGAGTGTAGAGTCGAGTTTGGAGAGTGGAGACTACAGTGCAGAGCGGATGGAGTGGAGAGTGGAGAACGTAGAGTGGAGAGTATTATGCCGTGTGTGATGTGTTTACTCTACGCAAATTACGCGTCGCACATTAGCATTTTGGCTCGTGAACAACAGCATAAAGGCATACTGACTTCGCAGAAAAGACCTTGCGAAGGAAAACGCACTCCCAGGAAAACAATGTACAGCTTGTTTGTGGCAAGGTTAGGATGGACATCCTGAAGGCAGGTGCGCCTGGTTGGTCATGTAAAATGCCGCATAGCTGAAGCCAATTATGTGCCAGAAGATAGATGAAAGGATGACTTGCGCTCCCATCTTGAGCGGCATGAACTGGATGTGTCCTCTTTGCTCCGGGTCTTTCATGAAGGTGGCAATCTCGAATGTGCACCATAAACGGCTAAAATACCTCGCGTTGTCGTTTTGTTGAAGAAAATGACTGCACGAATGGACTTGTTGCTCTTGACCATTACCCCACAAGCCTACACATGCACCTTCAAAACGTCCCAGCTTCAAATCTGATAAACCCAAGCACCGCATACTTCAGCGGCAAACCCAAAAATGAACTGAACAGAAGTCGCAGGGCCGGGGAGTCCAGAGAACCACCAGGCTCTTGCTGTTCACCAAGAAAGCACCCAAGCCCATGATGCCCTTCTTCTTCAGCCTGACATGAGCTGTCTAAACTCCTTATATCTCCCTGAAGCCCTAAATCTAACAGGAAACCTATATGAACCACTGTCTAAACTCCTAGTATCCCCCTTAATAACCCCTATAGTAGTCCCCTATATAATACCCTATATAGCCTTATATAACCTCCTCTATTTAAACTATAGCTCACATGATGCCTTCTTCACAGCTGGGATCCCTTGTTGCGGGGGTCCTTGTCATGTTTTTGCGAAATGCATCTACCTTCGGGGGAATGCTGCTCACGACCTTCATTGGTAGAACCCTGGTGCATCCCCAATCCTGAAAAAATTGAGACGAGCATGTTCAAAACCCTCCTATCTTTTCGCATGCCTGGCCAACCTTCACTACAATTCCCGATGCTATCCCGGGCGCTTCTCATCGTGCTGCGCGATGCACAAAATGTCCAAGAAGACCATGAGTGGACGGCCAAACAAAGCCCGAATCCGTTGCCAAAAGCACAGCACAAAAAAGAAGCTGAAATGTCCAAATACCGCAGTCCACAGGCTGTAGGGTAGCAGCTCGCAAGAAACCAGGATGCCCACCAGAAGGCTTGTGGCCAAAGAAATACAGAATGCAGGCCCGGAGTTGTGAAGGACCAGCAAAGAAATCAGCTTCAACCACCGGCTGGAAGCCCAATCATGGCTTAGGAAATGATCCAAACTGCTTGCAGACTTGCTAAGTTGATATTTCCTCGCGTCCACGTTGAACATGCCGTCATCGGGTGTCCTCCAAATTGTGGTGCATTCAAATGATATAGCCAGGAACAAGATTCCGGCGCGTCCCCAATTCTTACGTGGTAAAATGACAATGGGCCCCCTCGGCACTGCAATGCCCAGATTCGGCATCTGCAGCATGCGGATTTAGCGACTGGGACGTGCGGACTCGTTGACTGGCACGGGCGGATTCGGCAAGCACAATTCTGGAGCTGCCATGTGCGGACTCGGCAAGTGCAGAGCAATCCGAATTATACAAATAGCAATCTGCATCAGGCAGCTCGTAAGGATGCCGAGATTCTGAGATCCGCGCAGTATCCAGACAGGAAGCGCTCATGCAACACAGCCCCCATACAATCCCAATCCCAAAGGGATTCCGGAAATCCCTACATATTCCTGGGGTCCTTTCGTGTATGAGAAATTGTGAGACACACTCACATTGTTGAATGCGTCACAAGCTATAACCACACCCAGAATTAACAGTCCTTGCAGCAATAATGACAATAGCTATCGCGACAAAACTGGTACAGTAAGAAACTGGCAGGAACATTATCACCACGAAACTATATCATGAGCATCACCACTGCTACGAGTATCAACATCGTTACTATTGTTTTCATCGCCTTGTTACTTTTCGCAATAGCTATCTCTTCCTGGTGCAGAAAAAGGAACCTTGAGATGGCTTGCAAAGAAGCCCTCGCAGAGATGGAATCGGCTCCAGGAGCGCGACGGAAAAGAAATTAATATAAATATAATTGTTGCTCTTGGTACCGTTGCATGTCGCAGGTCGATATCATTACCATTGCATATCAGAAGTACTGATTCTGTGGGCATAGAAGTTGTTTGAAACCGGATAGTCAAACATGATCGTCATTTTTGATCATTTTTGTATAGCTCATGCCTCTTCAAAACAGACGTAATCTGGTATGGGCATGGGTGCTCTGGCAATGGGATGCGCTCGAGCATGAACGTAAGCAGGAAGTGGGTGTGGATGTTTAGGGAAGGGGATGCAATCGAGCATGGGCGTAAGCCTCGCATGACCGAGGACGGATGTAAATGTGCTGCAGGCCTGGATGAAATGGATGTGGCTGACTCTGGTATGGACATGGATTGAGGAATGGAATGCGCTCGAGCATGAACGTACTTCTTGTGTGGGCATGGATGTTTTGGGCATGGGGTGCACGTGAGCATGAAGGCCCTCGAACGTGGACATACGTACAATGTCTGCATGGGCATCCTTGGATTAGGACATGCTCACAAATTTGGTGGGAATGGATGCGTTGGGATTGGAATGAGCTGGGAACGCGCATGAACACAGTTCTATGGTACTTATGATGTTCGGGTATGGATGTTGTGTGCAACGGGCCAGGATCAAGCATAGGCGGAAGGTATGGATACGGATGCACTTGAAGACGGACGTAATCATGGCGTGAGCATGCATGGTCTAGGAATGGGACGCGCTCGAGCATGAACGTAATCAGGACACGGGCAGGGATGTTGGGGTACGGGATGCAGTTGGCCATGGACGTAATCAGGATGTGTGCAGTCCAACTTGCATGTAATCAGTGCGGGCATGGATGCTGTGGGAGCGGGATGGTCAATGCTCAGGATGTGGGCATGGATATTGAGAGAACTGCAATCGAAAATCGACATAATCAAGCTGTGGGCATGCATCCTGTGGGGATTGCAGTCGGGCATGGACATAATCGGGATGAGGCTTCTTGTGGGGACAGGATGCAGACAAGCATGGACGAGATCAGGTTGTGGGCATGGATGTTGTGGTAACGGGATCCGGCCGGGCAGGGACGCGATCACAATTTTGGCGTGGATTGACCTGGATGTTGCTAGGGAAATGGGGTGCAGTCGCATGGGCGATGGGCGTACTCAGGATAGGGCATGGATCGAAATGGACGCTTGAAGGAATGGCGTGCAGTCAACTATGGGCGTAACCAGGATGTGGGTCTGGGTGTTTAAACGAGCATGGACGAAATCAGGATGTGAGCATAAATATTATGGGAACGGAACGGGATGGATGTTTTGAGCATGGACGTGACCAGGATGTGGGCCGTGGCACCTTGTAAGCAGGATGCAGGTCGAGCATGGAAGTGAACGTCATGTGGGCATGAATGTTGTCAGATTTGCAGTCGAGCATTCAAACATTCAGGACGTGGGCGGGATGCAGTGGAGCATGGACGTAGTCAGGATGTGGGCGCGGACCTCGTGGAAACGGGATGCAGCCTAGCATGGACGTAATCAAGCTGTGAGCGTGGGTGCTGTAGGAAGGGGATGCAGTCGAGCATGAGCGTAATCGGGATGTGGGCAAGGATGTTGTGAGAACTGGGTGCAGTCGAAATTGGACATGGATGATATCAGGATATGGGCATGGGTGTACTGAGAACGGGATGCCGTCAGCATGGGCGGAATCAGGATGTGCTCGTGGATCTGGTTTGAGTGGGACGCAATCGAGCATGGACATAATCAGGACATGGCAAAGGTCATATGGTAATGGGCAGCGGTGGCGCATGGACCTAATGCTGGTCTGGCCATGAATGTCTTGAGAATAGGGTGGAGCATGGACTTAATATAATCATGCTATCTTCATTGATGCCCTCGGCATCGGACGCATTCGAGCATGAATTATCATCAAAGTGTGGTCATGGATGCTCTGTGAATCCTTGCACTTCAAAATAGGTGAATGATGGCAAGGGTCGCAATGCTTTCGGATGCGCTGCAGCAGGGACGTGGTCAGGATGCGGGCATGAACGTTGATGGAACGGGATGCAATCGAGAGGGCGTAAGCAGGATGTGGGCATGGACTGGTGGGAACGGATAGGGTGCATGTTGTTGGGGCGGGATGCCGTCAAGCATGAACGTAACCAGGATGTGGGTCTGCATGTTGTGGGAACAGGATTCATTCGAGCATGGACGCAACCCGGAATTAGGCATGGGAACGGGATGCGGCCGACCATGGACGTAATCAGGATGTGAGTGCGGATGCTGTGGGACGCCGATACAGTCGACATGAACGTAATCAGGATGTGGGCAGGGATGTTGCGGGAACTGGATGCAGTTGAGCATGGATTTTTGTAGGACGTTGGCAGGGATGCTTTTGGAGTGGGGTGTCCTCCAGCATGGACGGCATGAATTTCTTGGGACATGCGCTCAAACCTGGACGTTACCATGGTGTTTGCATGGATGCGGTGGGCACTGGATGCACTCGAAAATGAAAATAAGCCAGGTGTGGGCATGCGCTTGAACACGAACATGCTCACTTTTTCAACCTAAAGCTTGACTCCTCAATGCCGGCATACGCTGGGGGCAGCACTCATGCTCAACACCCAGTCGCAATTAACGCTCGAGGCCCTTGTCCCACGTCCGCGGCAGCTCACACAACATGAGCACGTGTTGGTACCACCCACCATCATGATGAAGAACGGAAATGTACCCCTTGGGTGGTCAAAGGAAACAGTGACAATGTTTTCCTCTCAGTGAAGCCAAAATGTCATAACATGGGGATAGATGCTCTTTGAATGGGATGCCCCGGAAACATGAACGTAATCTCGGGGTGGACATGGATGCTCTGGGAATGAAAATGCATGAAAATGAACTTGATAATGTTATGGCATGGGCGTTATGGGAATGCAATGCGCAGTTGGCATGGGCGTAATCAGGATGTGGGCATGGAATTTGTGAGAACGGGATGCACTCAAGCATGGACGCATTCATTGCGGGGGCGTGAATGCTCTAGACTGGGATGCGCTCGGCAGGAACGTGATTCTGTTGCGGTACTTGTTGTGTGAGCATGGAAATTGTTTGAAACAGGATACAATCAAGCATACTTGTGATTCTCGTGTTGGCATAAACATGCTCTGGGAATGGGATGCGCTTGAACGCGCTGTAATGGGGGTTCTAGTTATAAAGCCCCCCTGCCCCTTAACAAGTACGGATGTGAATAATCCGGGGGGGCCCCAATCAAGTTCGGGAAAAGTTGTTTGGGGGGCCCGGGCCAATCCCGAACCTTGAGGCTGCAAATAAAATTTAAAGCCGAACCTAACGGCATTTTCAGAAGCTAGCACGCACTATTCCGTTCCTATGTTGTT